TTAGGGCTCTTAATGGTTAAGGAAGGCCCGTAATACAAAATCATTCAGAGGATTTTAGAACCATTAAGAGGCAGACTTTTGTTTACCAAACAAGGTTCACTTCTTTAACGATTCAGAGGTTGCCTCTTAATGAAACTTTTAAGAGGTAAGCAAACAACCCTTAAATGAAGTTTAAAGAGGATAAAATACAATAAATAAAATTTAAAGAATGAATAAAATGTATAGAAAGAGACGTATTTTATGTTTTAGATGATAATTAGGTTTTATCTTGAGTTATATTGTTAAAATATAGATTTGTTCCACCTTGTTCAGACGGAGGGGATGGAACCTGCATGTTCCACATGAGAGTAAAGTGGAACATTGATCCTTGTTTTGTTCTATCATATCCAGTATACAAAACACATCCTTAAAGCACGTCTACAATACCAATATCCATCTAAAACCCAATAACTTTCTATGATATTTTGGGGTCTTACACAGCGATGACCATATTTAATCTCAACAAAAATGATTCTACTTCTGAAAAATCCACATCATTTACATGATTTCTAACAATTAGGATATGATGATCGTAAGTAAACAAGTAAACTATCATCTTGCACTATTTAATCATCTTCACAAACTACAAAGTTGGAGTAAGATACTTACATTACGGAAACGAGCCATCTTCGAATAAATAATTCACACTTGGTGCCCTAAATTGTTCTTGTAAACCAGCCACACTGCATCAAACACAAGTGATTAGTACAACAACCTAAATTAAGCTTCCAAATAAATGCATTGTGTGTGCCCAGAAATCGAGTTCCGTGGTTGAATAAATCTGTCCGGGAGGCGTTCCAACAATAGTCCAGTCGAATACCATGGAAATCGAGTCTGGAAGAAACTGAGAAATTGAAACCGAAAACCATGGTTGAAGAAATCTGTCCAGTAGGCGTTCCAACAACGGTCGAGTCGAGAACCATGGAAATCGAGTCTGGAAGAAGCTGAGAAAACTGAAATCTAAAACTATGGTTGAAGAAATCGTACCTGAAGAAATCGAGTGGAGGCGATGAAGGATCAAACTCGCGTTTGATTTGGATGGAGGCGATGAGGTTTTAGTTTAGGTTTTAGGCATGAGACGGTGCGGGGTATCAAATTTTCAAACAAACCTGAATTATTCATTAAAAATTATAAAATTTATATTTAAATATTCAATCTTAACGTGAATCTTTAGAAATATTTAAACTCGATTCCTTATAATCGTGTATCCGTGCGATGCAACAGTATGTAATCAAGTACAATGTAATAAATAAGGAATCAAGGCGAATTTTATTGTATACAGTCATAAAAATCACTTATGTTATCCAAATAATTATAATGAAGGAAAAACATATATCTAATGAATACATTTAAAAAATAAATAAATTATATTATACAAACCAAAATAGAAACCAATATCCATCTTTTTACAAAGGAGAGCTAAAATTAGCTAAAATAAAAGTTTGAATAAATAAATAATGGTGTGAAAATACCAAAAAAAAAATTTAATAAGGAAAGAAAAAAACTGAAAAGAAATAAAGCAAAGTTGTAAGTTTCAACTTGAATGTTGTTGGTGGTATGCATCAATAATTGTGCATGTGAAGTTGTAATTAAAAGATTTTTAAAATTTATGTATAAAATGGTAGTACTTGAGACTTTATAGATTGCATTTAAGATTTTTGGTCTAAATGCTTATTCCACCTATTTTTGTGGGGAAAAAGATCTTAAAACTTTTGTCCCACAAAATTAGGTTTTTTTCGATGTTAAGGGTGTTTAGGGTTGTTTATAAAAACAATTTATTAACTTATTTTGGTGTGGTATCGGTAATAAACACTTTTGAGTGTTTTGATAAACAGTTTATACCGGTAATAAAAGTTTTTGAAGAAGTTAAATCATTATAACTTATAATAATTTGATAAACATTTTTATAGAAAAGTATAATTTGTTTCAAATAAGCAAATCTCAAACACCCCCTTAGTCTAAGATCTGTTTGGTGGTTGTTGAATGATTAAGTGGTCATAATAATTAAGAGGCTCTTATGATATAATGCAAAATGAAATATAATTGTTTGGTAATTGTTTACAATAAAATTAGAGCGTTGAATGGTTAAGAGATGTTCAGGATGCAAAATCATTCAGCGGATTTCAGAACCATTAAGAGTCACATTTTTTTTGTCAAACAAGATTCATCTCTTAACGATTTAGAAGTTGACTTTTAATAGAACTATTAAAAGGTAAACAAACAACCTTTAATCTTATTTTTGTTTTATGGCATACCATATATAGGATTATTTTTTTCATCTTATCTTGTTTTACACGGTCTGGATTTTGTCCTATGACATATAAAATATGAATTACAATGTTACATGTTTGACATAAATTATATGTGAATAGACGTGTTCCAACCCACCATGTAGAATAAATTAAAACAAGTCTATATTTTACCATTATTCCCTAAACATAAAAACGAAGTTTTCTTGTAACACATCAATATGTCTCCCACTTTATATTTATCCTTTTTTCAAATTTTATTTATTGTATTTTGATCTATTTAAACTTTCATTTTATTATTCTCAAAATACTATTTTTTTTATGTTTTATATATT